GAAGGGGACTTTGCTGATGTGGCAGAGAGGATTAGAGGTTGAACTGAATCCCTACCCAATGTACATGTTGTCATCCTTGTCCCCAGGCTCCCAGGATGGGACTCTATTTGAGACAAGGTCTTTCTTTATCGTGGTAATCATGTTAAAGGAGGTCATGTGGGTAGCCCTGGCCAAATGTGCCTTAAAAGGAGATGAGATTAGGAAACAGAGCTGCATGGAAAAGGGGCCATGTGGGGACACAGAAAAGAGATGGCATTTGCCAGCCAAAGATACTGGCCTTAAAGGAAACTAGCTCTGATACCTTGGATTACATCTTCCAGTTTCTACAGCCACAAGAACAGATGTCTGTTGTCTAAGCCATCTGTTCTGTGGGATTTTTTCCCAAAAGTATTAGCCAGCTAGGACTAAGAGCCTGAACATGAGATCATGTCCTGGGCTGTCCCCATGGATCCAACAAAAGGTCTAATAGAAGAGGACCAAATAAGGCCCAGAACAAAAGTCTTTATAAGAAAAGTTGGGGGGGGGGAGGTCAGAGCAGATGTGATGACTGATGATGTAAGAGGCCAAGTCCTTCAAATTCTATTTGCTGAAGATAGGATGGCAGACAGCTGATACAAACTGCATAAAGCAGGGGGTGGATTCCTCCCTGGATCCTCAGAGGGAATGGTAATCCTGAATATGCTTTGCTAGAGCCCTCAGAGACAGGACTTCTGACCTCTGAGCTGTAAAACAATACATTTAAACAGTCACCATAGCAACTTAAAGGTCCACTAGGAATTGGACATGTGGGGGTGGTTTGGGGAAGGCACCCTTCCACAGTGCCACAATAAAACCATTGCCATGGCAGTCATTCACAGATGTGCTTAAATTTTTTTCTTAAGATGTTTTGCTTTTGTTTTATGTGTATGGGTGTTTTGCCTGCATGCATGTCTGTGCACAGTACCCACAGAGGCCAGAAGAGGGCGTTGGATCCCTTGGAAGTAGAGTTACAAAATGGTTGTGAGTCACCATGTGGGTACTGGGGATTGGACTTTCAAAGAACAGCCACAGCTCTTAACTACTGAGCCATCTCTTAACCCCAGAGGAGTGTTAGAGTAAGGAAAAGATGGGGATTGGGGAAGGAAAAGTGACAGAAAATGTCAGAACCACAGTGCTTTTTGTTGAAGACTGGATCTCCAAACAGTGTAGACGAGCAGAAATGTAGGGAGCCCTTGATCTCCTAACCTCAAACACACCCTACAAATATGCACCTGCCACAGTTTGAAGGCTGGGATGGATGGGTTTCAGAGCAAGACTGCAAAATAGAGCAGGACCAGAGGTCAAGTTGGGGTTATCTTCTCCAACCTGCCAGTGAGCAGCTCCTCTTTTCTCTTGCCTGGGTCTCTTCCCCACTGTGTCTGATGTGAAAACCCAGCATATCTGTATTCCAGAGGCAGGTTGTGGTCAGGGTGGCTTGAGTACCATTATCTGAGCATTCCTAATTCCCCCCCCCCATGATTATACTGCATCACACCCGAAGAGTGACCCCCACCCCATGATCATACTGCATCACACCTGAAGATTCCCTTGTCTCTCTTTTCTGGGCATTAGCCTGATAGCTGTCTTCATTAAGTCATCCAGGTTCTGAAGTCTGCTGTGGACTTGGGTAACTGGATAATTGGAATCTCAGTTAGAGATTGGTATATGAACAAAGGAGCAGAAAAAAGGAAGGCCAGAGCCAGAGCCTGAGGAGGGAATGATGCAGCCGTGACTAGAAGCACACTTCCCATGTGTTCCAGGAAAAGAGCACAGTTCCCATTGGCATTTTGTTGTTTATTGAAGACAATCCCAACTTAGTATGTGTGACTGATTGATAAGGACCATTGGTAATGACCACCCCACCTCCTTTTTGCGTCACTTTAGTGGCTTTTCTAGAGAAACCCACAAGACAGTGGGAGATGGTCTTATCCTGGTGGTCTGATGGTTTCATTCAACCTTTAGCGAATCTGTCTTTCCCTTAGAGTAGAGACCTGGACTGTGTGGGGTGGCCTAGCATCTCTGAAGGTTGTACCTTCAGAGGAGGTTGCAGGAGAATTGACCATAGTCCCTCAGATATAAGGTCTCTTGCTGGAGACCTAAGGAACCTAGTCACTGAGTGACAGCTCCTGCAACCAGCAGTCTCTGAGGCTGCTTGTAAGCTGCAGTAGAGAGTCTTTGGAATAAACAACTGTCCTCACACAGGCTAAGCAGATAGGTCTCTGGGGTGGAAGGTGAAAGTAAGCTCCTACTTTAATTTGTGTTTGGAGCATCTTTCCAGGACCTGGTATCGGCCTGCCTCATCTAGACCACAAATTCATTCTCGAATGTAATTTATTCAGGTCAAGTTGTGGGTCTCAATACTGGGCTTGTGGGATCCCTCTGCACCACCATCACCATGGAGTAGAGCCACCAGTTGCAGAGAGGCACCTGAGGAACCATGCATGAAACCCACTCTGTCATTATTCTCCCTGGCATCCTTTTGGGGAGATGATATGTAGCAATAGGGGAGGATTTTAGAGGAGCAGGTTTGTGGGTATAGTCTTCAAATACCTGGTAAAACAGGATGAACATGGCAGACACTGTTAAACAGAATACACTTCAACATGACATTAATTCATTTAGGCTTCAGATTAGATTAAATTCTAACAGAATAGCTACAGGAGGAGCAGGTAATACATTCTGGTGAGATGGTGCTGTGGATGCTGGTCCTGTCTTCTGACCAGTGAGATGACTGAAGTCATTGCTCAGGATGTGAGAATCCAGCTTGGCTTCATTCACAGACTGTCCCCTCAGGATTTCATGAGGCAGTAGTCTTTGGCCTTTGGCAAAAAGCTCCAAGATGCACTGTTTTGGGGGGGTGATTCAGTCCATTTCCTGGCCCTTACTTGTGTGGGAAACCCAGTAGGGGGAAGTAATCAATCTTTGGGATTTTTTTTCCTCAAAGGCCCTTCTTTGATTCTGTCTACTGAAGACTTAACTTGAGGGGTGGGGTGGGGACAGGTACTGATGTGGCTGCAGATGCTGTCTAGAACTTGAAGATTTCCTGACATCATGATTACCCCAAAACTTCCTTCCATTGAGACATACACTACAATGATGTTTGCAAAGACCTTCCTACCAGGGCTGTGCCCAGACAATGAGCTCTTGGGATAATGAGGTGTCTGGGGGTATGAACTCCAAGTGAGCTCATCTGTGTGCTCTCTTTCATGAAAGCACCAACGAATGAGAGGCTTCATCACAGGGCTGGCCTTCTATGCCGGGAGAAAGGGAAATGATCTGCAAGCCCTGTCACTGAGGCACTAGCACTCAAATTGGTGGCAGCATTGCAATAGCCCCAGATTTGGTCCTGACCTACCTGCATGCTGGGGATGATGTACTAGAGGACCTGGGCTCATTGGTATGACTCTCAATGAAGGACATGGTTGTTTTAAATGACCTTTTGAAAGGGCAGAGGCTCCCCAAACTCTGACTCTTTAGTTAGTTGGTGTGTGTGATCCCATGAAAAAATACTACCTCTATGGATTTCCCACCATGCAACAGGAACAAAGATGGAGTCTGGGTCTGCCTATGGAAGTTCTGTGAAGGACTGAGACATCTGGAGACCTGTTGGAGGAAGGTTGCTATGGTGATCCCAAATGCCTGAAGGTTGAGAGATGAAGGGAGTCAACTGGAACTAATGTAGCTCTTGTCACTCACCCTGTTATCAGGGGCTTTGTCCTTGTTTCTGGCCTGGCACAGCTTAGAGGAGCTGTTACGGGCACCTGGTCTTTCACCTAAAGGCTTCTTGGTGTTTTTAAGATGCTTTGAGGGCACTTACCTCTTGGGTTATATCTACTTGGTGGGGGCCCTCTGGAGATGAGTCTTCCAGCCTCTATAGACCCCAGGAGCTTGCAGGGTACCAAGGAGAAGCTGGATGTAAGGCACTTGGGGAAGCAGAAGGGAAGTAGGCAAGAGAAGATGAAACAGCATCCAGGAGCTATGTAGAACCCTAACTCCACAGGGCCTCATTCCCCCAGCTTTTTCACATGCAAGACAGTTGTTGCCTCCTTACACATTTTGCCCTTTCCATGCACTTATTTTCCCTTTGTCTTCAGGAGGGATGAGCATGGTCTCCAGAAATCTCTGTTTTCCTGTAAATTTATGTTAGGCCTATGTGTTCCCATAGCCACCATAGGAACTCAGTATGTGGTATTGCCAACTTGCCCCCCTCTCTCTCCTCTCTCTTACTTTTGGAAATGAGAGGAAATCAGAGACTGGGTCTGGCTGTGCCCGGAGAAGGAAACTCAATAAATACTCTCCTGTTTGGTGGGGAGGAGCAGGGATGATACAGGTTGAGATCTTCTTTGGTGAATTTATCTCTAGAAACCCATGGAGTATTTGGACATGATGTCCCATCTCAAGTTAGGTCTGGATTGAGAGGAAGGAGAGATGACCTTATAGGTCTCATCTGTGACCTTCCATCCTTCTCTTCTGGGGATGCATAGAAACAGAGGTGGGGTGGGGGAAGGAGTTAGAACAAGGAGCATTTGTTCTTGACTAATTGCCAAGAAGAAGGCAATCTGTGAGAAAGGCATTGGAGGGTCCAGGGGAAACTGTGACACCACTTAGCCTGCCCTATTGCCTCTGGTGTCAATACTATGGATTTGGGAATAAACTTCCTTGGCTAGCTAACTTCTAGAACTATGCCCAGAGGAATGATCTGCCCTGGACAGGGGTTTGTTTGTTTTTTTTTTTTTTCCCAAACCCATCACTGTCCAGATTTTGGAATGTGTGACACATGAGAATTGTCCCATCTCTTGTAATGCTAGTCAATGTCTCACCCAAGGAGGGAGACTAGACTTTCAAATCCAGTGGTTTGAAGTCACCCTTCCCTCCTTGATCAGTTTTGGTTCCAGAAGGATGCAGATGTGGAATCCAGCTGAGACACACAAGTATAACATGAAATTCTTTCTGGAAGCATAGTCAACCCCCAAATAATTTCCCAGCATGCACTGTCCCTGTCAGAGAGAGTGGGATGGATGATGGCTAAATGCAGGTGCCAGGGATGAGAATATTGAGAATATCCGAGAGAGTATCAACAGTGATGAAGAAACCAGGTGAGACTCAGCCAGCAACACTGCTAGGTTGTGTGAGGGTGAAGCCCTGAGCTCTGTCCTACTCTTAGGGCCAAGAGGAAGGTTTGCCTGGATCAGCTTGGTGGTACCCGACATAGAAGATTAGGAGTCTGGATGCTGGTCAGCAGATCTTCCGGTCAGATTACCATCAACGGTTCAGGAGGAAGAACTTGAGGCTTTGGAAGAAGTTGGACTTCTGCCTTTGCTTCTGCTTCTTTTTGATGATGGGTACCCACACCAGCCCACACACCAGCATCATGAGCCCCAAGGATAAGAAGGCAGGCCCTATCATCTTGAGAACTGGCACAACCTTATGCTTCTCTTCCAAGATGTAGGCCACACAGGTGATGGCCACACCAAAGAGCAGAATGGCAGCACCCACTGACATGATGATTATGGGCTTGTGGTAAATTTCCCAATTGCTCCTGGGGGTGGTGGTCCAGACAGACTCACTTCTGGAGCTGATACACAGAGAGCTGGCTGTCTGGCTGGGCAGCAGGTCCTTAGACTCTGGAGACGTCTCATCTACCTCCAGGGCCTTGGGGAGTACTTCCATCGTCATGGCTGTTCAAGATCAGGCACCTAGTATTGGCAACAGAGAGGATGGTGAAGCCAAAGGAATCTTTTGTCATCCATCCTGTATCAGTGTCTGTCCCTCTCCAGCCTGACTCTCAGTGGAGCATAATACGGAATAAGTGCATGCAAGTTTGAGAATTTGCATTTGGATCCAGAAGCACCCATTTATAAAGCAGGCATGGCAACACATTGGGGTGGAGACTGGAATGGAGATGAGGGAGTCCTGGGAACTTGCTAGCCAGCTAGCATAGCCAAATTAGCAAACTCCAGGTTCAGCAAAAGAGCCCATTTCAAAAATTAAGGAGGAGAGTAGTTGAGGACAACTCATATTGTCACCCTCTGGCTTCCAACATACATCCACAAATGCTAGTGTGCCCATCCATACTCATAAACACATATACACATATAGCTCACACACAAACTCAAAGACATGATACAAGATAGTATTTCTTTTCTTCTTGTTTTGTTTTCTAAGACAGAGACTCATTGTGTTATCTAGGTTGACATTGTGGATTTGTAATCCTCCTGCCTCTACCTCCTGAGTGCAGGGGTTGCAGGAAAGTGCTACCATACTAGACTAATACAATATCACTCTATTAATTACTTTTCCTATTTAAACCAGAAAACAGTAGCACTTAAGAACAAACAAACACCAACCATCGTTTATTTAGTAGTATGTCATTTTCAAGCCCAACCCTTGTCTAGCTGTGCCATCTCAAGTGAGTTATTAACCTGTGTTTCTGTTTTCTCATCTACAAAATGAAAGTAATAGTATTAGCTTCCTCACAAGGATTCCAAAGGGTTAAAGGAGAGCAGGTGTGGACTGAACTGGATTGATGTTCCGCATATTCTGGGTGCTCTGTAAGTGGTATCATTTGCCTGTCCGGATGACAATGCTCTATCCTTAACTAGCTTGTGTGCATGTGTCTGTTTAACCCTTCTCTCATCAGACTGACACAACACCATAATCCCAGGCACTGATCATTAGTCCCATTTTACAGATTAGAAAGCTGAGGCTTGGAGAGGTGTAACCATTAGTTTATAAGAGCTACTGTTTTCACCTGCATGCAGGTCAGTGATGCTTCAAATACCCGAGATTCCAGGAGCTTCAGTCCACTAAGAAGCATCAGCTTCACAATGTGTCACATGATCTTCTGTCATGTCAATTCACCACTGTTGTGACAGAAAGGAACCTTTTCATTCATTTGCTTCTGTTTGGAATGTGTCCTCCAGGGTTCCCGGTAAGGTTGGGAGCATGACACCTTAACCTGAGTGTGGTGTGCAGGGTGGGGCCTTTGGGAGGTGGTTGCTTGGTTGGGGTGTCTGGGATTGGGGTCCTTGTGCATTTTTTGTCCAGAAAAGGAAGAGAGTCAGACACACCTGAGTCATTCTCTGTGCGGATCTGGGGCTTTGCCAACAAGAAGTCACTAACGATTCAGATCCTTGTACCTTCTAAATTGAGCTATGTAAACACATTTCCTCTATAAAGTAGCCAGATGCAGCTATTTCATCATAGTAACACAAGGTGTACTTGTATATAATCTAAGGGCCTGGAATCCAGCTCAACTGCCTCTCCTAACCTCTCTCTAGACCTCCTGGTCCCTGGGGACTCCTTATCTCCTGTTCTCCACTCAGAGGATTCAGGTCTCTCTGGTGAATGAAGTGATTCCGACCTGCTGAGAAGCCCTCCCGGCCTGTCAGAAGTGGCAGCATCAGATCAGCGGGTTCTCACATTCCCTCAGTTTGAGAGACTGAAGCCTCTCAAACTGCAGATGTGTTCTAGTTCTAATGCCCATGTCCCTGCAGTAAGGTAACAAGAGATGAGTGACTGATGGAAGATGGTTTCCCCACTGAGCACAGGTTTTGTTTGGGAGGAAGGGAAGGCTAAGAAGGCCCCGAGTTTTGCCCCACATCACCTCAGTGTATCTGGTTCTGGGCTTCACACCCATGAGATTCTGTAAACTTGACAGAGTGAGTGAGCTTGGAACATAACTCTCCCCCTGCTTTCTTCCATCCCTCCCCTTCTTTCTCACTACAACAAACCCAGGCCTACCCTACCTGTGCAGATTGCGTTCCTCCCCGGGGCTTCTTGTGCAACAAACTCAGAGCCTCCAGTATTCACACACGTGCCAGCACAGGCCTGGGAGACTGTTTCCTGCAGCAGTCAGAATCCTGGGGACGGTGGGCTGTTTATCACAGCCATAATGGATTCTTTTTACCCAGCCCAGTTATGGTGCTGGTGAGAGGTCCTGTAGCAAACCCGATGATGAAGGCAGGGTGCATTTGGGGAAAACATGTTCTCAGTTCTGGAGTCAAAGGCAGCTTGGGATAAAGGAGAACTGTCTAGAGCTGGGGACTTCCAAGACCCTGTACCCTGGGAATGATCCCTCCTTAATGAGGACCTTTCAGTGAGTGCTTTCCTTCTCCAGACTTCCCAAAATGTTGGTTTCATCCTGATCCCCTTCCTTACTCCACCCACAGCAGCTCAGTCTTGACCTGATCACCGGGTTATTTTCCATCACCTCAAAGCACAACACCCACAGCTTCCACTTTCTAGATAAAGCAATTCAAGACCCCTCCCCACTTACAGGAGGAAATAAAAATCATGAAATTACCAAATCCATCAGCATTTAGATATTCATATTCAGATGCACTTCACCGAGGGAGGATTTTTGTCCTCTGCTCTCAAAAACCACCATGGTGTTTTGGTAACCATGGGCACAGGGATGCTTGTTTCCTTTGGGAATGGCAGTGTATTTGCATAAGCTAAGCCATCATTTAAAAGGTGATCTTCTCTCCTGTGGGATGGGGCAGGGAAGAGAGATAGAATGCTCTGGAAAACCTTGGGGGTGCTTATTGCAACTTGTGGTCACTGGAGTCTTACTCAGGATTTCCCTGGGTACCCACTCTAGTACTTCTCAGGGAAGGACCAGGGCAGACACACTGATGTTGGAGAGGCTGAAGTTGGTGGGGGGTGGGGGTGGGGAGTGGAGGGTGGGGGATGGGTCTTAGTTCTACCTGGAAAAACAGCTGAGGCTGGATCAGAAAGGGCCTGCCCTTCTAGTATGACAGGGCCTCCGGGACAGAAAGTGCCAGTTGGAGGTAGGAGGTTGGAGGTAGGAGGATGATTCTTGGCTTCTGAGAAGAGGGTGACACCAACACTAGGCTTGCTGGAAGCACCCCACGCCCTCCTTCTCATTGGTTCTTCAACACAGTTACTAGCTTAGCTCCACTTTGCAAGGGCTGAGGCTGGGGTCTCACATGTAGGAGCTAGGGTGACACTTCCCTGGTTCTGGCCCTCAGCCTAGCTTCCCTGAATCTGAGGATTCAGGCAGAGGTATTTGGATGCAAAGCTCTTTGTGTTACACAATGGCCATAGTGCTGAGTCTGGAGGGATCCCCTACAATAATTCTGAATTCTTCACTTTGAAGCTTCAGCCACCCCTGAGGTGACTTTTCCCTGAATATGGGAGGACTCTGGTTTGTAATTCCCTGTCCCGGACCACTGTGTGTGGGAAGGAGGGAGAGCACTGTTGTAGGTTTTTGCTTCCTTACATAGTTATTTACCTTAAAATCAGGCCTTTCCTTCTCCTTTTGACGTTGGAACAATTGTCATTTAATGAAATGCCCAAGGTGATGGAAAGTGATTATTGATTTTGTTACTAGTTGCACTTGACAAGGAAAATGTAGATCTCTCTCTCTTTTTCTCTTATCTATTTTCTCTTGACATTTTCTTTATTGTTTATTGTTTACTGTTCTTTTTCATTATTTCCTTTTTATACAGCTATCAATCTGCAATTGAGCTATCACGTGTCTAACCACAGGTTATTAATCTGTCATTTACATATGTGCATATGTGTATCATCTGTCATCTATCTTTCTGTCTATCATCTTTCTTCTAGATTATAATGGGGCACACAAAATCCTAAAGAATGGGACCTCCACAGTTTTGTAAAATATGCCTATCACTCTCCATATCCCTATATAGAGGGATATACAAATTACACCAAAAAATCCAATGGTCTTTATTCCTTAGTTTAGAGATTACAGTTGACTTTTATATCCTTCATTCCATTCATCTGTATTTTCAAAGCCTTCTGCCTTAAATGATCACCCACTGGTGAAATGTTACTTAAAATGAAATACTTAGAGGAAGAAGGAGAAGGAGAAGAAGAGAACCTGTAAGTGAGATGGCTTACATGGAGGAAGGGTGTGTTCTTGGGGCTGAAAGGACAGGAAGCAGGTCTTGTTTGTTGGTCATTGAAGAAGAGACACTGAAGGAGTCCCCTGGAGTAAGGACTAGGGTCATGCCCCATCCCATCTGTATTCTTTCTGTGTGACCAGGCACAGGACAGCTACAGATAGAGGGGTCAGGCAGGGCTGGGCCGTGGGTTAGACTTGGTGCTGGGAAGAATTGGGCTCAGTCACTCAGTTCTAGGCAATCTCAATGCATAAAAAGATTCTGGTCTTTAGTCCCAAAGCCCAGAGTGGAGTTGGGGTAGGGCAGGAATTTATAAGCTGTGGGACCTTGGGCAGCTACTTAAACTTCTATAAATTTAGTAGCCCTATATACAAAACAGGGATCATAACGTATTGGTCTCACAGTGCTCTTGTGACTGTCAAACTCATGAACGGCACTATTATACCCCCATTTGGGATGCTGTGATGATCAGGGAGTAGCCCCTCTTTTGTCATTTGGGTCACTTTCCCTCTGGGTACCTATCTCCTCCTCATCTGTGAAATGAGGAGTTTGCTTTGTGACTTCTAAAGTTGTTTCCGGGTTGGCCTGTGACTAGCTAGTTGATTTGAACTCTGAGTATTCCGGTTTCCATACAGTCACCAATTTAAGGGCCATGTTTTTCGATGTTTTACTAAAGTCCTCTTGAGAGTCTGTCCTTTGCCAAGCTCATTTGGACCATGGTTTCTGAACAGGAGCTCTGTGGGCATTTTGGATTTGGCATTTCATTGTCACAGATGTGGAGTCTATACAATCGTGGGCTGCTTAGT